CCATGGGGAACATGAGCACAAGTCAGACATAACGTGTTATGGCAACGGAACAGCCCTGTGATTGGGATGAGGGTGAGCTGTCTGATGGTGGTATTGTTGGTAACAGTGGGAATTTTATTGGGTGCAATCTTATTTTTAACACTAGGTGCTTTTCTGTAAACAAATTTGGGGAGGGATGGAATGGATGGTGCAAGATGTGGGTCTTGGGACAGAATAGACCAATGTCTTTTGAAGATACTTTCCATTTTCTTGTGGATCGAATGATATTGGGTAACAAACCTAATGGTAGGTTCCGAATTTCCTTTTTGAGGGGCTGGTGTATCTGTCAAGTCTGTCCTCGATAAGCTCAGATGGGCATCCTTTTTTAAGGAATTTGTTTTTTATTGCCGTGATTTGTGTTTGGCAGTCTACCAACCTAGTACAATTTTTTTCTGAGGCGATGGAATTGACTTTTCGGAACATTGCGGATCCATCTGGGGTGGTGACAGCTAGAAAAATGGAGAAAAGAATTGCCTGCTGTGGGCTTCTGGTAGTTTTTGGCAATGATGGTGGAATTGGAATGTGTGAGTTCAAGGTCCAGAAAGCACAATGTGGTGGGATCAGCTGCATGGGTAAAGGTGAGACCAAAAATGTTAGAATTGCAAAATTTGACGAATTTTTGTATCAGAGGGTGGGGACCTCCCCAGATGATTATAATATCGTCGATATATCCACCGTAAAAAAACAATGTTGGCTAAAGGGATTGTTCTTCCAGATATATTGGTTTTCCCACAGACCCATTGTTAGATTAGCATAACTCGGAGCAAAATTGGCTCCCATGGCTGTGCCTTGTGTCTGCAGATAAAAATCACCATCAAAAACAAAATAATTGTGTTCCAGGCAAAATTGGTATTGAGATACGGGTCTGCCATTAGAAAATGTGTTTTACTAATCTGTCTGTGTACTGCGGTGCTCCAATCTTGTCCGCCGATCCACGCCACTCTTCCCACCTGCAGTACATTGCCGTCAATCTTCCAACAAAGTCCGCCCCATCCGGCCCTCCTCCTTTTAGAGAGTGTCGTCCCCCACATCCAATCAGGTCTGAAGAAGAAGCAATTGCTTCGAAACGCGTCACGTGACTTCTCCTCGCCTTCCCATTGGACGCCTGCTGGGTCCGGACTTCCTTGCGTTCCATGCTAGTTACAGCGTTGGCTTCCAGTGTTCCTCACCACTGACAGCTGTTGGCCGTCCAACTACACGTCCGATTATGGTTTGGCCTGAACACTGGACTCCATCCCCGTCCATCCTGAATGACCAGGACCCTGACTGACACCACCGGCCCCCCCCACTGGCCAAGCCGAGGATAGTTTTACATGCCTAATATACTCATTCCTTTGTGAGTAGCTACAAGCTATTGTTTTTTTAATAAATGGTTTTAACTCTCTGCACTTAGATTGGCGCCCCCTTGTGTCCTTTTATATCTTCTACAGCACAGGTGTCAAACTGGCGGCCCTCCAGCTGTTGCCAAACTACAAGTCCCACGAGGCATTGCAAGATTGACAGTTACAAGCATGGCTCCCAAAGGCAGAGGCATGATGGGACTTGTAGTTTCGCAACAGCCGGAGGGCCGCCAGTTTGACACCCCTGTTCTACAGAGTACTGCTTCGCTCTATGGGGAGCTGCCTTCACCAGTGTCTTTTATAAGGATTCATGGACATTATGGACTTTATGTGATTATTTCATTACTTAAATATCCTGCCGTATTCTCTCTTTATTGGTGCCTATGTTTTATTCAGCTTTTATTTAGGATAGTTCCTTCTCAGCGCCAATTACTTCATTCGTTTGCATTGTCAGTGATGTCACCATCTCTATTGAATGGATAGACCGCATTCTCACTGTTGTCACCATCTCTATTGAATGGATAGACCGCATTCTCACTGTTGTCACCATCTCTGTTGAATGGATAGACCGCATTCTCAGTGATGTCTCCATCTCTATTGAATGGATAGACCGCATTCTCACTGTTGTCACCATCTCTGTTGAATGGATAGACCGCATTCTCAGTGATGTCACCATCTCTATTGAACGGATAGACCGCATTCTCAGTGATGTCACCATCTCTATTGAATTTATAGACTGCATTCTCAGTGATGTCAGCATCTCTATTGAATGGATAGACCGCATTCTCAGTGATTTCACCATCTCTATTGAATTTATAGACCGCATTCTCAGTGATGTCACCATCTCTATTGAATTTATAGACCGCATTCTCAGTGAAGTCCCTGGTCTCTAGTGAATAGCTTGGCTGCATTCTCAGCGATATTTCTTCCCTCTAATGAATAGATAGGCTGTGAAGTTGGCAGTATAAGTCTCCATTTCTGTATCACCAGCTCTTTTGATGATGATTCCTTGGTATGCTAGTTGCCTTTGTGGATGGTTGTCACTAATTTTATTGTCTTGTAGCCTTGGGTAAAGTTTATGAACTTCAGAAAATTGATCCTCCTTCCCCGGAGACGGCTGTGTGTTCTTTCTTAGTTTGTGTTATGAATAAATCTTGTACGGTTGTTTTCATGCATATGAATGGCAGGCCTGTTGTACATCTCTTTCATGTACTTATTATGGCGTTCTTTTAATCTTCTTTTTTTGAACACAGCTCAGGGTGCCACATCAACACAACTCTTTGTCAAAAAGTTCAGTCGTGTTAGAGAAGGGAATTCCTCCCTGGATCAGGAGGTGCAATCTGTAGAATACAATCTCAGCATTTGGTAAACTCAAGGCATCCATAGAAATAGAAATGTAAAGTGGACATATACCCAGAATTAACAAATCTATGCAGATGTAAATCTAGATGACCATTGGTTTACTAGAGCACTGCATATCATAAACAATTTCAAGTGGTCCTACAGGCTGAAGTTTTTTGTTTACCTTAATGCATTCTCTGGATTAAGGTAAAAAACCTTCAGTATGCAGCTCCCTTCCCCCTTATACTTACAGTGGGGATCGAAAGTTTGGGCACCCCAGCTAAAAATTTGTATTAATGTGCATAAAGAAGCCAAGAAAAGATGGAAAAATCTCCAAAAGGCATCAAATTACAGATTAGACATTCTTATAATATGTCAACAAAAGTTAGATTTTATTTCCATCATTTACACTTTCAAAATAACAGAAAACAAAAAAATGGCGTCTGCAAAAGTTTGGGCACCCTGCAGAATTTATAGCATGCACTGTCCCCTTTGCAAAGCTGAGACCTGCCAGTGTCATGGATTGTTCTCAATCATTGTCTGGGAAGACCAGGTGATGTCAATCTCAAAGGTTTTAAATGCCCAGACTTATCTGACCTTGCCCCAACAATCGGCACCATGGGTTCTTCTAAGCAGTTGTCTAGAAAACTGAAACTGAAAATAGTTGACGCTCACAAAGCTGGAGAAGGCTAAAAGAAGATAGCAAAGCGTTATAAGATGTCAATATCCTCTGTTTGGAATGTAAATAAGAAATGGCAGTCATCAGGAACAGTGGAAGTTAAAGCAAGATCTGGAAGACCAAGAAAAATATCAGACAGAACAGCTCGCAGGATTGCGAGAAAAACAATTCAAAACCCACGTTTGACTGCACGATCCCTCCAGAAAGATCTGGCAGACACTGGAGTTGTGGTACACTATTCCACTATAAAGAGATACTTGTACAAATATGGTCTTCATGGAAGAGTCATCAGAAGAAAACCTCTTCTACGTCCTCACCACAAAAATCATCGTTTGAACTTTGCAAATGAACATATAGACAAGCCTGATGCATTTTGGAAACAAGTTCTGTGGACTGATGAGGTTAAAATTGAACTTTTTGGCTGGAATGAGCAAAGGTACGTTTGGAGAAGAAGGGGCACAGAATTTAATGAAAAGAACCTCTGTCCAACTGTTAAGCATGGGGTTGGATCAATCATGCTTTGGGGTTGTGTTGCAGCCAGTGGCACAGGGAACATCTCACGAGTAGAAGGAAAAATGGATTCAATAAAATTTCAGCAAATTTTGGATGGTAACTTGATGCCATCTGTGAAAAAGCTGAAGTTAAAGAGAGGATGGCTTCTACAAATGGATAATGATCCTAAACACACCTCGAAATCCACGGGGGATTACATCAAGAGGCGTAAACTGAAGGTTTTGCCATGGCCTTCACAATCTCCTGACCTCAACATCATTGAAAATCTATGGATAGACCTTAAAAGAGCCGTGCTGACAGACAGCCCAGAAATCTCAAAGAACTGGAAGACTTTTGTAAGGAAGAATGGGCAAAGATACCTCAAACAAGAATTGAAAGACTCTTGGCTGACTACAAAAAGCGTTTACAAGCTGTGATACTTGCCAAAGGGGGCAGTACAAGATATTAACTCTGCAGGGGGCCCAAACTTTTGCAGACGCCATTTTTTTGTTTTCTGTTATTTTGAAAGTGTAAATGATGGAAATAAAATCTAACTTTTGTTGACATATTATAAGAATGTCTAATCTGTAATTTGATGCCTTTTGGAGATTTTTCCATCTTTCCTTGGCTTCTTTATGCACATTAATACAAATTTTTAGCTGGGGTGCCCAAACTTTTGATCCCCACTGTACCTGAGCCCAGTCTGGATCCAATGATGTGCATGAGAGCAACGGCTCTCTTGGCTCTCTCCCCCTCATAAGCTCATTTACAGCAGCTAGAGCCATTGGTCAATTACAGCCAGTAGGAGGGAGCGGGGCTGAGCCTTGCTCTGTGTGTCTATGGACACACAGAGCTGACTCAGAAGCAAGCCAGCACAGGTGATCCCATATGGGGACACTCGGCAGGGGGCAGGAACCAGGAGTGCCGGCAGGGGACCCAAGAAGAGGAGTATTCGAGATGCTCTGTGCAAAACCATTAGACAGAGCAGGTAAGTATAAACCTGTTTGTTAAAAAACAAAAACAAAAGTTTACAATCTAATATTTACTGTATTTTCCTTTTTTTAACCACTTTCCAGACCGGACACTTTCCCCCACTTCCAGTCCGGACACTTTCCCCCCCTTCCAGTCTGGACACTTTCCCCCCCTTCCAGTCCGGACACTTTCACCCCCTTCCAGTCCAGACACTTTCACCCTCTTCCAGTCCGGACACTTTCCCCCCCTTCCAGTCCGGACACTTTCCCCCCCTTCCAGTCCGGACACTTTCACCCCCCCTTCCAGTCCGGACACTTTCACCCCCTTCCAGTCCGGACACTTTCCCCCCCTTCCAGTCCGGACACTTTCCCCCCCTTCCAGTCCGGACACTTTCACCCCCTTCCAGTCCGACCACTTTCACTTTCCCCCCCCCCTCCAGTCCGGACACTTTCCCCCCTTCCAGTCCGGACACTTTCACTCCCTTCCAGTCCGGACACTTTCACTCCCTTCCAGTCTGGACACTTTCACCCCCTTCCAGTCCGGACACTTTCCCCCCCTTCCTGTCCGGACACTTTCCCCCCATTCCAGTCCGGACACTTCCCCCCCCCTTCCAGTCCGGACACTTTCACCCCCCCCCCTTCCAGTCCGGACACTTTCACCCCCTTCCAGTCCGGACACTTCCACCCCCTTTTCCTGACCAGGGCAATTTTCAGCTTTCAGCGCTATCACACTTTGAATGACAATTGTGCGGTCATGCAACACTGTACCCAAATGAATTTTTTACCATTTTTTTGAGACAGATAAAGCTTTATTTTGGTGGTATTTATTCACCGCTGGGATTTTTATTTTTTTGCTATTTAAATGAAAAAGTCCAAAAATTTTGAAAAAAAGTGTTTTTTTAAATAAAATTTTGCAAATAAATAATATTTCATCATAAATCTTTGCCAAAATTTATTCTGTTATCTTTTTAGTAAAAAAAAAAATACAAATTAGTTTATAACCAAAAATTATAATTTTTTAAACATTTTTTTTTACATTTTTATTTTATTTTTTTTATATTATTATTTTTTATTTAAATTTTTTTTTTTTTACATACTGTCACCCTAGCAGTGTGGGGTCACCATAGTGAAACTGTACTACTTGTGAGGGGTGATGAAGATTTTTTTTTTTTTACACTGATTGCTTTTACACCCATATAGGATGTAAAAGCAATCATTTCTCCTTCTCTCTGTCTGCATTCTTGCAGCCATTGAGAAGTACTGAGTGAGCTGTAATTGGTCACAGCTTGTCACATGGTACAAGGCTGTTGTGAATGGCCCTGTACCATGTGACCTCTGTGATCATTCATAGATTTCACATGTAGTAAGCAATGATGTCGCAAGTGACATCTTGCTTACTACTTTGCATGTGATCACTAATTGGCCAATCAGTGATCACATGATCGGGACCTCATACAGAGGTCCCGTCCGATCGATGTTCAGCTCCGAGGGAACGCGCACAAGCAGGGTGCGGGGAGGCCGTTTATAAACGGCCACCCGACCCTGCACTGCCACCGTCCGGCCGATTATTATATACAACGGCCGGTCGGGAAGTGGTTAATCCTGTGATGCATCTCAGTACTCTTGCACCTACTTCTTGTCTACATACATTTCAGCCATGGCTTCATGGCGTTTCTCATGGTGGGTTTCCCGATGGTGACAATGGTAGGCCAAGCTCGAGTAACGTGTTAAAGTTCATAGTCTGAGCTTGTGACAGGGCGATAATGGGGAAGCAATATTGAGAAACAACTCAACTCCCCTCAAAACAGGAAGCGTCTGAACACAAATCTTCATGGTAGGATCACTCAGTATTATTTGAAGGAAAAATGCACATTTAAGAAGACTGAAAAAAACATTCTGAATTGGGTTAACATGTTCACCGTTTTATGTGGTTTTTAGTGATTGGGTTTACAATTACATTTATTCCTTCGTATGGGATCAAAGCTGCTACATTTTCTTACAGATAATCATTCTCTTGTTACTGTGCCTTGACATGCTAACTTGGTAACTCATTTAGAAGAGCATAGTGTATGAACTGAGGAAAATGTTGGTCTTCTCGAGGTTTCAGAAGAGAAAAATGATAGCTCATCTCTGCTTGTGATTGACATTTTACAATTAAAAACACATGCCTGTCGGCTTTGTAATAAGTTTTGGCAGCCCCTGCCACATCACTAGGAGGAACAATAGTAATTTGGACAGACTTATATATCCTTCCAAAGGTGTTCATAAATGGATTCTATGAATAGACAAAGGGATGTATAATCTTGTAGCTACCAAGATCAGGTATAAAATCTTGAAGTTTAACACCAGCCTTCCCTTCAGGCTTTCAAAGTTGTATAGACTCCTCTCCTGTATTGAAATGGCTTACTCTGGTTTCACTGCACACTTTGAGCTTCTCACAATGTGCATTAGAAGCTGCAGCAAGTCAGATAGTGCCCCGCCTCATTTCCTGGCTGCAGGACATCCAGCATCATCTAGCTGTTTTTCCCCCAGTCTGATGGTCCTTGGCCTGCCCCTTTTACTAATTGGGTTTTCGATTCGGTCACGGAGTCTCGGCATCGTATGTGGGTGTTACCTAGGGTGGTCTGCATGCAAATACAGTGGACCAAATACGTTTCCTCCTGTGCTCCAGGACCCAGGCCGGTGGCGAGTAGGTGAAATCAAACCCAAACGAAACGACCACCAGAGTATGAAAGGTCGTGCAGCTCCAAAACAAGGCTGGGGAAGCCCTAAGAATACTGCAAAGTGAAAAAAACAAGAAGCGCACCAACCTTGCGCATTACCTCAGTAACCAAAATGTATTAGTAAAGGAATGGTACTCACAAACAGCGAATAAAAACAGGCATGTAAGTCCTCCAAGGGACTTCAGAGACAAGAGGCCAGCGCGCGAACCCATCATGGGGGTAGACACTCAGTACAGTTGACGCGTTTCGAAGGTCATGCCTTCTTCCTCAGAGTTCTGGCCTCTTGTCTCTGAAGTCCCTTGGAGGACTTACATGCCTGTTTTTATTCGCTGTTTGTGAGTACCATTCTTTTACTAATATATTTTGGTTACTGAGGTAATGCGCAAGGTTGGTGCGCTTCTTGTTTTTTTCACTTTGCTGCATGCAAATACAGCCAGCCCAGGAATACCCACTCCTCCAGACTGATATCCACCCATCAAAGCATTTTGATGTTTGCGTAACTCCTCTTAAGAGCCAGCTCACTGCTTGTACCAGGGCTAAGGGCTCCTGAGAGGAGGAGGATTTTACTGGGTGTAAAGTAAGGTATGTAACCAAAATTATTATTATTATTATTATACAGGATTTATATATTATTATTATTATACAGGATTTATATTATTATTATTATACAGGATTTATATATTATTATTATTATTATTATACAGGATTTATATTATTATTATTATTACAGGATTTATATATTATTATTATACAGGATTTATATATTATTATTTTATTATTATTATTATACAGGATTTATATATTATTATTATTATACAGGATTTATATATTATTATTATACAGGATTTATATATTATTATTATTATACAGGATTTATATTTATTATTATACAGGATTTATATATTATTATTATTATACAGGATTTATATTATTATTATTATTATACAGGATTTATATTATTATTATTATTATACAGGATTTATATTATTATTATTTATTATTTATACAGGATTTATATATTATTATTATACAGGATTTATATATTATTATTATAATACAGGATTTATATTATTATTATACAGGATTTATATTATTATTATTATACAGGATTTATGGCGCCAACAGTTTGCTCAGCACTTTACAATATAACGGGGGACAATACAGCAACAATACAGTTCAATACAAGAGGGATAAAAATGGAAAGGTATTTTTACAACAATTATCTTGTTGATGGTGGAATTGGAAACCCAGTAAGGTAGAACATAATCAGCTTAAACTTTGGCTGTAAAGTGATTGTAAAGCTATTTTTTAATTAAAATAACAAACATGTTATACAATGTGTTTGCCAGCTCTGTGCAATAGTATTGCACAGATTGGCCCCGAACTTCCTCTTCTGGGGTCCCCAACGGCGTTCTAGGCTCCTCCTCTTCACTGAGTATCCCTGATTCCATACCACTTGCTCTGGGGGAACTTTTGCTGGGTTGATCCTGAGCTGGGCTGTGTGCATCTATTGACACAGACAGCATGGCTCAGCCCTGCCCCGCACTCCCTCCCCACTGGATTTTATTGACAGTAGCAGCAGCCAATGGCTCCCATTGCTCTCAGCCAAGCCTGTGAATGCAGAAAGAGAGCGCAAAGCTGAGCTACTTGGGGGGACAGCGCTGAATGTTTGGGGGGGGGGATTAGACAGACAGACAGTAGAAGGTTTTTTTCATCTTTATGGATAGAATGCATTAAGACAGTGGTCTCCAAACTGTGGCACGGGGGCTGAATGCGGCCCCTTGCACACTTTTATCTGGCCCTTGAGGCACTATTCCTTCCACTGACACCAATGATGGGGCACTATTCTTCCCACTGATACCAATAATGGGGCACTATTTCTCCCACTGGCACCAATGATGGGGCACTATTCCTCCCACTGATACCAATGATGGGGCACTATTCCTCCCACTGATACCAATGATGGGGCACTATTTCCTCCACTGATACCAATGATGGGGCACTATTCCCTCCACTGACACCAATAATGGGGCACTATTCCTCCCACTGACACCAATGACACTATTCCTCCCACTGATACCAATGATGGGGCACTATTCATCCCACTGATGATACCTTCCAATGATGGGGGCACTATTCCTCCCACTGACACCAATGATGGTACACTATTCCTTCCACTGATACGAAGGATGAGGCACTATTCCTCCCACTGATACCAATGATGGGACACTATTCCTTCCACTGATACCAAGGATGAGGCACTATTCCTCCCACTGACACCAATGATGGGGCACTATTCCTCCCACTGATACCAATGATGGGACACTATTCCTCCCACTGATACCAATGATGGGGCACTATTCCTCCCACTGACACCAATGATGGGGCACTATTCCTCCCACTGACACCAATGATGGTGCACTATTCCTCCCACTGATACCAATGATGGGGCACTATTCCTCCCACTGACACCAATGATGGGGCACTATTCCTCCCACTGATATCAATGATGGGCACTATTCCTCCCACTGACACCAATGATGGGGCACTATTCCTCCCACTGACACCAATGATGGGACACTATTCCTCCCACTGATACCAATGATGGAGCACTATTCCTCCCACTGACACCAATGATGGGGCACTATTCCTCCCACTGATACCAATGATGGGGCACTATTCCTTCCACTGACACCAATGATGGGGCACTATTCCTTCCACTGATACCAATGATGGGACACTATTCCTCCCACTGACACCAATGATGGGGCACTATTCCTTCCACTGACACCAATGGTGGGGCACTATTCCTCCCACTGACACCAATGATGGGGCACTATTCCTCCCACTGACACCAATGATGGGGCACTATTCCTCCCACTGACATCGATGGTGGGGCACTATTCCTCCCACTGAC